AATAAGAGACTCAAAGAGTCTTAAGAGTCTCAAAGTGTTTAAGAGTCTGAAAGTCTTAGAATCTTTAAGTTCCCTACCAATGATGAAAAATAGGTCTGGTGCACTAGTTCACTTGTCCCTTCCTTATGTATAACTGCTTTACGTTTTATTTAGCATATAATTAAAATTATTATTACTTATCACAGTATTGTCGTGGTCAGGTCATTTTGTTGGGATATTTTGGATATGTTTGTGTAGGTTTGTGAAGAAGCCAAATGCCCCAATATTAGTGAATGCTAGGGTGGAGGGGAACATGAAACAACAAAAGCAACCATCATGGTGCGTACTGATAAAAAAAAAAAAAGCAAATAAATGAGTTAAGGAAAGTTAACGTACAGTAGTTAATATACATGTACATGTACATACTGGTACGTGTATACTCTTTTAACCACTTGAGCACATACTCCGCAGGCAAATAGTGGTACATTTGTATTTTAAAATTTTATATCTTAATCAGTTTGTACAGCCAAAAATTTTAATAAAGTCGTTCAAAGTATGCTTTTCAAGAAACAATACACTAAATGTTGACACTGTATCCTTGACCGAAACCTCACTTTGCTCTCAAGATTAGCATAATATTCCTGGCTTCTTCAGTTGGCAAAATTCTCAATGATTCTGGTATACATGTATTTCAGCTACTTGGTGACAAGTGTACAAGAGACTGTAGATTCTGCTCCCTGAAAACCAACAAGAAACCTCCTCCGCCTGATCCCATGGAGCCATCTAACACTGCAGAGGCCATCAGTCGTTGGGGTCTGGACTATGTAGTTATCACCTCTGTTGACAGAGATGGTAGGCTGCATTTTGAACAAATAACTCTTTTTTTAAATTACTTCTCAGGGAATCACAACCAAATACAAACAGGTATCCTTATATTTAGCTGCTTGACCACAGACCAGATTGAATTGAGTTAATAGCTTAAACCTTTGGCTGATTTAAAAGATAGGGGTCTAAACTAACACATGGAAAAACGGAAGTTTCCTTCAGAGAAAGAGTGAACCAAAACCAAACCTACCGTAATTAAAAGTGAAATTTACCTTTCTGTACACCTGATGCTCTCTGACGTGGTCATACAGGTGATGTAAAACTGAAAAGTAATGATGATGGTAACTGTGCTTCTCATTACCCTTCAAATTTGACCACAAACCTGATTTGAAATTTTCCAAAATGTCATATTTTGCAAATATACAAATCCTGTATTTAATTTGTATTATAAATGAAGCAACAGAAATTAACATCACCCTACGTGAAGCATATCATCAAGGAGCTAAAAATTCAATAATTAGAAACAAGAGTTGGCATTAAATCAATTGAGATCTTCTTTATTAATGCTGAAAATTAAAGTTGTACTAAAGCATCAGTATTCACCACATTTTGTTAAAATTCTGAACATCACGAGCACTCTTTCAACTTTCATACAAATTTATTAAACAGGCACATAATATCACTGATTTAAGATTCAGTTAATTATATCATCTCAGAATCAAGAGCTCATTGATGAATGTCTTGTAAGTAATCGCGTAATTTGCAAACATTTTTGTTTTTCTTGTTTCAAGACTTACCAGATGGTGGAGCTGCTCATTTTGCAGAGACCGCGACACAAATCAAAAAGAGGTAAAAGAAAGATTACATAATATTATGTACTTTTTGCTATAATTTTAAATGATTGTAGATCATTGAAATCTTTGTGTAGCATTGATCAGTGTGCAGCTGTGGAATTGATTGAGATGGATGTTGATTTATTGTGTTCTCAGCCAATCAGATCCAAAGTCAAAACCTCAGCCAATCTGATTATATGTACCACAGTTGCAACCAGCTGCATGCTTTTACATCACACTCTAATGATTTATCTGAATACAATATTTGGATATACTGTATCTCTTCTTGGAGTACTTTCAGATTTAATTTGAAGATGGTCAGTTGTTTAAAAATTCTGTTATAATATTTAGGATTGTAAGTGTGTGGATAGGGACATTTTGTCATGCTTTTTTT